TACAATTTTTTTTCATTTATACACCGCATTTCATAGACCAAGGTAGCACTATACAATTTTAATGTACCGGTATTATCCATTCCCTCACACACGGTGATGACAGAAGCGAGACACCAAACACATGGGTGCATTGAAGCCGAGTGCCAACATGAACTGTATATTACATTCATTCCTATTGGACATGTTTTAGTGATAGGGGAATATGGAGCACCCATAGGAAACCTACACAGACACAAGGAGAACATGCAAAGTCCACACACAAAGGCCTGAAGGTGGATTTAAATCTAGAATCTTCTGTGATGCACAAGCACTAATCATGTCACTCAAGTAGCCTTTTCCATTTTTGCATCACAATCATTTTAATAAATTTTATCCTGGACATCAACAATAACACAAATTTTAATGCAAATGTATTTTTTGGAAAACAAAGGAAATATTGTTTTGTTGCTTCCACCGCAGTACTAAAATGTTACCAACGGATGTCAGTGTGGAGTAAAGTTTCCAACTGCGTTTCACTTCCTCAAATCATTTGTTTCGAATGCGTTGCGTCCATTTGGCTAATAGAATATACAAATAAACCAGAGCTAGCTCCAGCTGAAGTTCAGTAGCATTCTGGTCCATAATTTATTAAAATATATTTACTGCATGGAGAGCCCAAGTTAAGAAGTATTGTTATTGTGTTTATTTTTGCATTGGACGATAAACCTATAATTGGATGGATGGATGGACTTTGTCTTAACAAAAATTTAATTCAGTAATTACTAATTTTGTTTAAATGGTGGGACTGAGCACCAATAAACTTCAATGTTTTTCTTTTTTCCCTCCTGACTCCTACTGCACTTACCTACTGCAAGGCTCCCACTGAGGTTAAGAACTTTTGACAATGAAAGCCCGCACTAACGACTATCCCTTGTATTTTAAGATAACGATGGGAGCGTGGGTTGGGAGGGGGGCGTGAGAAGCTTGTGTATTAGCTGGGGCAGAGGATACTTAGTTATTACCTCACGTAAAGAGCCTGCTTGTGTTTAAACTGCCCCCGGTGTAGTGTTGCTTATAAAATAACCTGAAGTGCTAATGTCTGGCTGACAATTCACACTACTAAAATACAAACAGGACTTTATTGTACCCACAACTCTCATATGAAGACAATATACAAAACTGTTTCCATAATTACGGTGATGTAAAATTACACCAATCTATCAAATACAATGATCCATCATATAAACAAAATAAAACCCAAGTTGAAATAAATAATTTATGATAATTTGTGGCACACTACACTGCTATTAACTGCCTATATGTCCAAAACACTACAGAGCTTTAATGATTAATTGCAACAAATAGTTTTTCAGTAATCGATTAATATGTATCTGCTCTATTTAAGGTGGGGCAGAGCAAGTTATGTTTATTTGGATAGCACAGTTCATACACAAGGAAGCTTTGAAAAAATAAAAATCAATCAATCATGCATAAATATATAATATTATACATTTACAGAAGTCACCACATGTAAGTCAAATCCGGCCCGCGAATGAATTTTACATGGCCCGTTGCCTGCCATTGACGCACTATTACGTCAATTGCGTTTTCCGCTATTTTCATGTTCCCAGATGTCTATTATATCTAATATGTTTGGGGATAAGCTTGAGAGCATATTGAATCGAGCCAGCAGGTGGCAGCAGCGCTCTCTGAATGGTTTGAAAACAGCTAGATGCACTTGTTGTGCCTCTTTTTTCTCAGCTTTTTGGTGATTTCAGTAAAACTTCCCTCTACTCAACTGGGGATTACAAGTTAGAAACAAAATTCTTTTCGCTGATGAAAGTAGACAGTCTATTCTTTCAGAATCTGGTTTCGGATTTCAGATAGTCATAGTACACAATATTCTGTGGGTCTTGAAAAATCTATAAAAATCATCAGAAACTGCTGGCAATATGGGAGTACCTGTTCTGAAATAGGCTGGCAGGCAATGAGTTAATAAACATTGAACCAGTCCGGCCCTCGGCTTGCAGCAAATTTATTTTTTTGGCCCTCTGATGTATTTGACTTTGACATGCCTGCTTTAGAATGTCCACCAGCGGCTTCACTTACTCACTCACTCAAATTAGTTAAAAAAGCACATATATGTGTTCTAAACAGCTAATTGATTAATTGAAGAAATAATTTCTGTGGCTGATGTTAGCCATTTCCAAAGTATTAAACAGAAAAGACAATGTGGCCACTGAACCCTTGAGCTATGACCTGCTTCATTGCACTTTTCAGGAAGCAGGACTATAAAACATGTAACCTGCCAAATAGACTTAAGCTGCTGCTCTTTGACCTGCACCCCTACCAACGCTGGCCCCTGTTTGTGTTGTGCTTGGAGTAAATCAACAGGCTCAATTAGGCCAGATCCTTCCCTCATCATCGTTTTAGGTGTGAAACCAGCCATGTGACAAGTGTGGCCACCAGTCACATCTCCAGTAGCAGCAGCATGGGGCCGGGGCTGAGTGTTTACAGTAGAGGTGCCGGCACATGCCGCTGTCCCCTTTGTAATGTGACGAGGTGTGAGCAATGACAAGATAATCTGTCATTTACAACTTACAGTGGCTTTGAGAGGGGCCCACCAGAGACCACTCTGGTACAAACAGCAAACCTGTAGGTTCCATTTACTTGCTAATAGCAGTGTAGAAAGAAATCCAGATGTTTATTACTAATAAAAGGGGGAAACACATACTCTCATTTTAAATTGTATACAAACTTTTAGTAGAAAATTCTGATTCTGTTTGTAGTTGCAACACTAGTAGTGTAACTTTTGTGGCACAAATGATCAAATGTGTTCTCTCACATTGATTACAGAGATAGTTAATACCTCTTTAGTGCTGGAGGTTTTTGTTCCATAAATTGTGTTTGTCCAGAAAGAGTCTTGTTTACCTCCTATATTAAAAAAAAATAATCAGACCCTAATGTGCTGACAAAAAATACACAGATGTGAAAACAGATATGTTTTGAGAGCGAGGAACTCGTTACATGGATTTGATTACATTTGAAGGTAATTTTATAGTTAGGTACTCCTAACTATCTTGGGTTTGTATTGAGACACTTGTGAAAGTCGAAACCAATTTCTGGTCCACAACAATGCTGTAAGTGTTGAAAAAAACAGTCAACAAGAAACAATTATGTTCAAAATTTCCCTTTTAACCACAGTTTCCTATGTCTACAACACACACAAACTGAATGTTATCATCCAATCTCCTACGTCACATTTAAAGAATAATTGTGGCAAACAATTGGAGCAATACAAATAATTACTTTTGAAAAGAGTCCACATATTAATCTATGCATTACAGATTTTATGGGAACATCTTTTTGATAAATTCAATGTTGTGTACACTCATGATGTTTATTCCAAAACAAATGTCTCGCATTACTTGTCATAAAGCTTGCATTTTCCCGGAGAAAGATGGCTGTGTGTGTAAAAAGGCTTGGTTGTCTCGGCTGCAGCTCCAGTGGCTCTTTCCCCTTTGACTAGCTACATCCCCTCCCCCACTCTGTGTAAAAACAAATCTCCTTTTCTGCTCTGAGCTTCAAACTATTGAGTCAACAAATGTCAGCGCAGCCGGTCCAGTGAGGCAGGGGCGCTGAGCAGAAAGGTGGGGCCCAGGATTTAAGCCTTTACCAAATCAAAAGGGTTTTAAGACAAGGCCCACCTGTTTCCAAAGTAAAGAAAGAACATTATGGGAATTATGACAAGTGAGTCCTTAGATAAAGCTCGGGGTATAGTTTTCAATACACTCATGACAATGGAATTAGTGTGTTGTATAGATTGGTTTTAACTTTAGTAACATAACCCCCCTGTATAACATTTTAGAGTAATAGTTTTGGTTCAGTTGTCCCCATGCTCATAAACAACGGAGAGAATGAGAACAAGGAGAACATGAATGACTTTAAATAACACCACATAAGGCATTTTAGCACAAAATAGAAGTATGAGACACAAACATTTACCGAACCAAACCAAGATCCAAGACTGGTTTCAAATGCTATTTAGAGAATTAGATTAGAATAAACGTCATTGTCATTACATTAAAATTGCACAAAAGCACTATAGCGCAAGTTTAAGATAAAATTTACAACACATAAATATATATCCATACATCAGAACTTATGAAAGCTGCCATAACAATAACAAAACCAATGTTTATTTTTCTTAACACACCGACTAATTTATTGTAATCTTATAAAATGCAGCACTCAAATATATAAAATAATATGTAATCTTGCCCAATTTTTTTTATGAGTATTTATTCTAGAAAGCATGCTCATTTCCCACAGTGCTGTTTCTGTAAAGTGGTACACTAGAGCCCACGTGGGCAGTGTCAACAGGAGGTGGGTCTTGGCAGTTCCACTATGCTGGCTGTACACATGCCTAAGAGTTGTCTTACACCGCACAGTCTAAAAATGAGACTGCCAAAATAAGGCAGTGTCCAACTAATCCAGGCATGTGGGGGAAAATAAAATTTACTACCACGACTAGTACCAGCACTTGTGTTCAAGAAGAAGAGGAAGTCTTGAAAAAAGGAGGGAAAATACTCAAGAAACTCTGGCTTCCTGTCTGAGAATGAGAGAGAGAGAGAGAGAGAGTGATAGACAGAGAGAGGGGGTGGAGAGAGTTTAGACAAGAGTGTGCAAAATTTGAGCTAAAAAAGAAAAAAAAATCCAGCGGGGGAGGGTGGATTCCTGTCCCATGCAATCCAGTCCGGTGCTTGAAGGGAGCCATTATAGTAGTGTTCACTATTGTGTGCGGCTGACCTAAGAAGAAAAAAAAGAGGAGGGGAACCGAGAAGGGAGGGAAAGAAAACCTGTCTCTTTGTGTGGGAAGACCTCAGCAGGATAGTGATTTTGTGATTATTTCTCCAAGCCAAGCCTCCTCACCCCTACGAGAGCATTCTGGCTCTGCACACCACACCACTCAATGGTATTGGACGGAGCAGGAACAGCAACAGTAAAAGCGTCTCCTGATGATGTGGGACGCCGACGTCAGCCTGGCTTCCATGAATATTGATGTGGAGGATAGTCTGTTTCATAGAAGAACAGAAGGAGGCAAGATGGCTGCCCTTTAGGATTTGTTAAAGGGGACGAGAAGAGGAGAAGAAAGATTTGGACGGTTTTTGTTGGATTTTCTGCAAAGTGGAGGGACAGGAAAGCAGGTGAGATTGGGCACAGTGGGTTAATGTAAGACTTGGCTGGTTCACACTGTGATCTTAGGTATGTTTGAGGTTGAGTTTTACCCTCTTGCTGAGGTAGAGCTCCGTCTCCGGCAAAAAGCAAGAGCCAAGCAAAGGAAGGAAGAGCCAAGATAATAAAGAGAAGATTACAGAGACCATTCCAACATGGCTGATTTCTCTTTTTGCAACATGGTGCTTCTTTTCTATTACTATCAGGTATTCTTGTACCATATGTACAATAATACTGAGTAATGGTTCTTATGATCTTATGGCACGATGAAAGACAATATGTATTTGTTTGGTTTAAACATGTACACCTCTTGGATTGGACAGTTTGAAAGATATTTTCATACTCTTCATGTGCTATCCAGTATCCTGACCATGTTTAGTGGTGAGATTATGGACTACTTTGAAGGGGAGCCCGGGGCCGGACACTTGGAGCAGTAAAGTGCACAGTGTGCGCACAGCAGTAGGGCTGGAATAGCTTGGTGGCTTTGTGCATCTCCGTGAATCAGCTTTCATTGCTTTCACCACTGAATGACAAGCAGACACAAAGGCAAATCCCAAGGAGAAGCCCAGGCAATAGTAAAGAACTGTGGCAGTGCTGGGGTCTGTGTGTGTAAAATCTTACTGAAGGTCAGAAAGCCCATGCATAAATGAAACTCTAAACCAGTGCACCATTAACTAGATGCCCAGGAAATTTGATTCTTTAGCAAGAAACATGTGTTGCATATAGACATTTGGAAGTTATTTTTATTTTTTGCTTTTTATATTGCTATATTATTCCTGATTTTGAGGACTTAGCAAAAATATGTGAAAATTGTATTATTTGTGCTAAGAACTGAGCCAGGAGTATCACTACTATGTTTGTAAGCAAAGCTACAGATTAGGGCCCAGCACACTGACCTAATTCTTGCTCATGATAGCACTAGATATCCTTGAGTTAATCACTTTTGCATAACAAGGTAGAGTTTTCAAACAAATCTATAGTAGTCATTGGCATATGGGCAGCAGGACACTATTCATGTTCCCTAATAGTTTAACTAACGTGTTGTTAGTTTTTCTCGTGGGGACAATAGCTTAATCATTAACATCTTAATGGGTCATTAGAATATACCAGGGATCTGACAAGCTAGTTGTGTATTGCATGTGGATTGCGCTAACTGGTGTCATTATATGCTTGAGCCTGAAGGTAAAGTCTCAACTAATAGTTAGGTTTGTTTGCACCAAGAATAATGACAGGCACATACTGGTACTTCTCCTTCACTTGAGTCTTGTGGGGGATTTGCTAAGTCACTGTTTTGGGAACAGCTAGGTCAAATATAAAGTAGTGACAAGACTCAAGAAGAAGGCTTCATAAGTGACAAAAGCAAAATTATTGGTGTCTCAAGCACCAATAATTTTGGCCGAATTGGTCGGCCAAACGAAGCGCTCCAAAGGAAGCTAAAATAACAAGAGGCCAGGTCTCTGTGACGCAATGGGCTGGCTGTGTTATGATTAGCTGTGCGTGGTTAGCAAGTGTGTGTGTCAACATTGGCGTAAATGCTTAGCAAGAATGTTTTCTGATTTCTTTTTGGAGATGTTTTTTGACTGTGCCATCTGGGACGTTAAATTCTATAGCAAAAAACTAAAATCTGGATAAATAATAGTCTAGAATACTCTTATGAACAATAGAGTATGAAAAAACCATCACCCAAACAGCCAAAACCAACTCAACAACAAAAGACATGGTGCAAACATATTACAGGGTTAAAATAAGCACGTTATATGTTTGCAAAGCATAAAATATGCTTCACATGTGTGCATATAATTCTACAAACCAAGAAATGTAGTGTTCAGAAAGTTTCAAAATGAATCTGAATATTGTATAGTGTGTCTAAATCATTTTGCCTTGCTTCTGTTTTATATGCAGAGAGACAGAGCAGAGCAGTAATGAGCCTATGGGGGTTGTGTGGGGGATGGGCCGATAGATCCATCACATGCGCGTAGCTCTTGTGATCTATCTACACCTAACTGATAAAACAGCACATTGGGAATGCTCTTCTGTCATGGTTCTAAGTCTCCTTTTAAGTTGCTCCCAGTCTTGAGACAATATCAGCTTTTGGAGGGAACAAATGTCCAGTTGCCATAGCATTGCACAACAATGTAGTCCTAACACAATGCAGCCCTGACCCTTAACTCTCCTACGACCTGCAACCCACAGGTCTCATATTCCAGAGGCCTCTGTGTGACCACTGCAGCGACAAGTGACATTTTACATTGCACTATACCTGATTTGCACAAGCCACAAGTAAGTGCTGTATATGAGACAAAATGGCGAGGTATTCAGAGCCATTATTGATTTTTTAATATTGATTGCGATCCAGACTCCTGCAGAGTGCTGCAGGAGGCGGTTTGTGCACAACAAAAGACATTCCAATATGTATGTGTCTGAGATGCTTGACATTTGGTACAATAAAAACTCAGTATGGTGCACTCAAACAAAGATATGGTAGGCAAGTCTTGCCGTTTTATTTTTCATATTCCAAAACATTGGTCACATTTCACCATGTAAGTAAGACAGTCTGCAGAAACTTTCTTTTATTAATCATACAAAAACCCGCTGCTAGAACCATAGCTCTTGATTGGTTGCACCATTGCCTTATTTGGCGCATGTTGAAAACACAAAATATCAATCAATCAATCAACTTTATTTGTATGGCGCCTTTCCAACACAAGGCCACTCAAAGTGCCTCACAACCCACATAATATCAGACAAATCAGAAACATCAAAAACTACATGTACAAACAATAAATACATTAAAAACAGAATAAAATCACAAGTAATGAAAAAAACCTTAAAATATTAAAAGCACACACGGGATTAAAATAATAAATAACCACAATGCATTAAAAAAAAAGAGTATGTATCAATAAAATCCTTCAGCCGTATGCACAGCTAAAAAGAACAGTTTTTAGCCCTGATTTGAAAATTGCCAGAGTAGATGCTAGCCTCACATCCTCAGGAAGATTGTTCCAGATTTTAGCTCCATAAATCTCAAACGCTGCCTCCCCATGTTATAATATATAATACAAATATTCTACCAAATATTCTACCTATACATTTGGTCACACATATGCAGATACACACAAAAACAGTTTGTATGACGCCAACACAGAGATGCTCGGCTCTTTAGTCAGCAGGAGCGGCTATGAGATTCCCTGACATGACCCGAGTTGCGCCGGACGGCGACACAACCTAATTATGGAGTGAGATCCCTGATGTTAGCAGCACAGGCGGGAAGGTAGCGCAAATGCTGTCGACTCTGTATCAGTGTCAGCCTTTACCTCGGGGGTGACGCACACGTAGTACTCAAAGGCCTCCTCCAATGCGCGTACGCACATGGCCGCTCTGTTTACAAACACCGTCCTGGCATTCCGCGCCACGCAAGCGAGCCAGCGGAAGCTTGTTATGTAACCATCCCCAAAGCGAGAAGCATCTTTCCTCTTGCCTCCCCGCCCGATGGCCCTCGACTGACTCGTGAACCATCGGCCAGAGAAAATGTATGCTGTTTATGCAGACGAGATACGAGAAATGTAACATGTAGTATTGCGAGATATAAGAATGGTTGTTAATAGCCAGCTTGAATGCCATTTATTGTGGGGTCTCTATACAACTGGAAAAATGTGTCTGTAAAACAATTTCTAACCTTTTAATTGTTCCTCTTTGACTCAACACAAATAGGAACAGAAACAGGTTTTATGAAAATGAATAACGTTATTACATTAAATGCTATACTAAAGATGTACTAGAATGAAATGTCACTGAGGCTCCAAGAAACAGTGAGCGCATGCATGGCGTTTGTAATTTAAAAAAAATATTTGTTTTACCCATTCTTGATACAGATGTGATGACTGATGTGAACATACAAGATATCTATCCCACTGTGATATCTACAGGATTTTTCATATTCATATTAAATTAAGCAGGCAGTTCTAAGCAAAACAAATGTCTTGCATTAACGTTCCATAAAAAGACAGAAACAAACATAGCAGCATGTTTTCCAAGTTGTAACAAAGCATGTAGTCATCTACAAATGCTTTATCTCACAGAATATCTGGAAAGAGATTATCATTTTTAATAGACAGATAATCTCCCTAGCTTCTTCACAGTGCAGCCTCACCAGGGTTCACAGCAAAACAACTGCTGCTGATGGCTGTTGGCCCACTTCTAAAATGGCTGTCAGATTTGTGCGTTATGCTGCAAGGAGCTGTCACTGAAAAGGATAGGCCTCATAGACCCCTGTTGTCTACACACGAAGCACAAAGAGCGACAGCTGGTCCCCTATGCCATGTAGAGACATAACCCTGACCGATGGCTTTGAATGACATCACTCACTACCAGAGACACTACAACCCTCCACATTCAATATCAGGTTACTGATACAGCAGCAAATAATACAGAATATTGACAGTCAGGCAAATTTACTCTGAAGTAATGTTAAAATTTGAGGTAGCTGTTCTGCCGTAGTAAGTGTAGAACAAATGTGGAATTTAAACTGGCAACAATGCACATTTTAAAAGGCTTAAATTATTGTTTTTTCAAATACCTGCAGACCCAATTGTATGATCGTAAGTCCAGACTTCAGTGGAACTTTATTTATGTTTGGAAGGATGGTTGCATTTATTTAAGTTCAAGCATCATAGTGTTGGGAACAGGAGCTTATACAATGCCTTAACTCACTGAATACATGCCTGGCTCAAAAGGACTTGTGATTTCATTCAATGAAAGTGGATCTCTCTCAGTGGGGGAGAAGCAGCTTAGCAACAGTGGCTTAGGTCAGGCTAAGAAACCAATGAGCAAGTGCAAAACTATATATGTGCAAAATACAATTAAATTTTCAACCAGAAAAATTTCGTTTCAGTAATTAATTGAAATGACTTCCTTGTAAAGTTCTTGATTTACGACACAGGCCAAACTAAGTCAGAACACTTAAAAGGAA